CTCAAATATTTTTTCGATCTATTTTTTTCTATTTTTTCACATTTTTTTTGTGGTTGCTTTAGGGGGTGTGGATTGGGGAGTTTGTGGTTGTTTTTTTTTGGGGGGGGGGCAAAAAAATATTGCACCAGGGCCCTTTGTTCCTTAGGTCCGCCACTGGTTGCAACGATCTAGTTATTATTTGTAGATACATTGGAAGATGGTGGTTTCTTTAGGTTCTTCAACATGTTCTGCCCCTTGCTGCCTTCCTCAGGAGGACCTCCAAACCTAAAGCACTGCAACTTTATGGGCCAGACAGCGAGATGAAACGGATCACCAGAGACCAACTCCTCTTGGGGAGCATGGAGGGGTGCAAAAACAAAGCAGATCCAGACCACCCACACATGAAGAGGGCTTCAATTGATCCTTTGTCAGCCTCTCCGATGTCCGACAACTGCCTAATTTCCAGAATATCCAGATCACATAATCACATGCCCATACATTAATCACAATATCTATGCCCAAAGGGTATGGGGTGTGATGTTTAAGAGCCAGTCGACAGCTCTGCCTAAACAGTGATAATTTCCTGTAGCTGACATCATGTGCTCTATGATGAAGATATCCCAGATCAATGTTTCTCTCAGGATAGGCAACTAATTAAAGTAGAATTTAACTCTCCTTTGTTTTTGCATATATCTACTGCTCGCTAGCAGTAGATATATGCAAAAACATTAAAAAAATAAAAAAGTGACCTAAAAGGAAAAAACTGATCTGTGTCTCTGCCGCTCGCTCCCATCTGAAGACCTGAGAGCTGGTGCACACCCAGGTGATTTATCACACAGATTTAGCTGGCAAAAAAATTGGGGCAAAACACATATTCACATTAAAGTCAATGGAGGCTGTTCACACTTTTGTGTTGAGTCGCACGGGTGAAATCACCTGTCGAGCAAAAAGGTGCAGGAGCTATTTTCAGACGGTTGTTGCGCGGCTCAGGGGATTGCTGAATACAAGTGGAAGGAAAAAGATGATCGGGTCAAGAGGCATCATTTAATGTAAGTCCTTAATGCAGCATGGGGGGGGATTTTTGACTTTAATGTCACTTTAAGCTACCCTATTACTTGGGTAAGACAGCTAGGATGGTGGAGTTTTTAGACTATACCCCTGCTTTGAAACACACAGCAGGATTTTTTTAGGCCAGGTTTACACCATTTCCCGGACTAGTTCTGGACCAGATCTGGAATGCAGTGAATTTTGTGTTGCCGTGATTTTACTGCAATTTCGGGAGGGGTTTTTCACTTAAAATGGGCTTTCAAGTGCGTTCCAGTGCATTTGCATGCATTTGTATACGTTTTGGATGTGATTTTGTTTTCCAGTGCATTCCAGACCGGACAAAATGAGACAAGCAATATGGTGGTGCGCTGGTGTGAACAGAGCCCAGAAAAACCAATGGGGATAAATTGGGATGTTTTTCTGGTCCGGAAACAAACTGTTCAGGTCTGGACATGATCCACACATAGTGTGAACAAGCCCTTAGAGCAGGGGTCCCCAAACTTTTTAAACAAAATGTACTGTCTGTAAACTTTTTGGGGCCCGTACTGTGGCCAGTAGGAGTAAAACTGCCCCAGTGATGGAGGTCAGTGTGAATAATAAATTCCCATGCACTGGAGGTCCATGGGAGTAATAAATGCCATTCATCAACAGTCAGTAGGAGTAATAAATGCCCCGGCATCAATAAGAGTATTAAATGGCCTGGCATCAATGGTCACTATGAGTAATTACTGCATGGGATCTGTAGGAGTAATAAATGCCCCAGTATCATTGGTCAGAGAGAGGAATGGTGCTTTATCATTGGGTTTAAGGTTATAGTGCCACATCATTTGCGTTCACTGGGAGAAATGTAACCCCAGCATTGGTGGTCAGTGTGAAGAATGTAGCCCCTTCAATGGTGGTCAGTGTGAGCATTGTAGCCTCATCATTTGTGGCCAGTGGGAGTAATGTAGCCCCAACACTGGTGGTCAGTGGGAAGAATGTATCCCCAACACAGGTGGTCAGTTTGAGAAATGTATTTCCATTATTGGTGGTCATTGGGATAAATGTAGCCAATCCTAGTTGTTCAGTGGTACTTACCTTGCAATCTCCATGTCCTGCCCTGCTCCTCATGGTGACATAATCCCAACTGTACATGCATGCCAGAGTCCGACATCCACCACAAGTTTGCAGTTAATGGTTCTCTACTGTAAGCTTGCAATGAGAATTCTTATTGCATTAGTCATTTTACAGCAAACTGCGGGCTGTAACCTACCTTCAGGCTGTAGATTGGGGAACACTGCATTAGAGTGACCAAATGAACATGCACTGCAACTATGGGGGTGATTTACTAACCTAAACACACGCACGCACCAGGTGTGTGTGATTTTCACACAGCAAAACGTATTTATCAACCAAAAAGTCTCTAAAAGCATATTTCCACTAATACCATATATGGAAAAATCATGCACATGATGCATATATAATGCTGCTTCACAGTTTAGACAAAAATGGTTAGCTAATGCATTTACATTCCTGCATTCATCAACGCAAGCAACATAACATAGAGCTAATTTACACCACATTACCTTGCAATTCATTGCAGGGCTTTGCACAACACAGCTGCTGGGTGTGTACACACTACAAAGGTATTTCGATTCCTCCCATAGATCATGCTGGGAGGGAACACACTACAGAGGTGTATACACGTTCATGGTGTGTTTATAAGGTTAGTAAATCAACCGCTATGTGTCATTACCATTTAACAGAAGCCTTTTCTTTTTGCATATTTAAAGAATCATTTCTAAATCTTTATATATATTTTTTTTTTATAGAAAGTGATATTGCCACAGCATAGAGGTACATTTTGAAGTATTTACAAATTCAGTGTTTGGATTAAGAGTTATGTACTATGCCTTATTTGAAAGATTCTAAATAATAATAGATACATTGCATGCAGGTATTTCATTGATGACATTAAATCCAGAGGACAGGATCTGCACCATTAGTTTTAGTCCAACCTTCTCCTTGACCAAAGTATTATTGCAGTAAGAAGAAGTAAAGCTACAGTTCTACTTATAATCAAACTTAAATAATATAGAAAATGATTGTAATATAAATATAGTTAAAAATATGGTTTATATGTAATTATATTCTTAGCACATGCTAGCATTGAGATTCTACTTAAGCAAAGCATGTTTATATAATTTGTTAATTGTAAAACAGCAGAAATTATAAACTGATTTCAAACTAATAAAAATAACTATATTGGAAAAACTTATGAACAATACACGGTATATAAAGTGCAGTTAATCTTGCATAGCCTCACATGTTATTAGAAAGCCACTGGCAGAAAATGGTTAATTATATTTCTATTCTGGCATTGTATTTGCATTATTTTAAAATTGATGGAATTTTTATGACATTTTAAAATGTAAATTTAAATGGAACTCACTATTTGTTTTACTCTCTGTTAACAAACATTTATTTTTATTGTGAGTACATTGAGCACATAGTGATGTATTTATTAAAAACAATTGCAGAGCCATTCATCCAGCAAAACTCTGTAAACATTTGTTCTGTGCGAATGAAGTTAAAAAAACACATTTTCTTAGTATATCTTTTTTTAAGGTTGCATGTAATATCAGGAAAATACTACATTATGGTCACTATATGGAGGTTAGGAGAATAGAAAACAAATACTGATTACCATTAATTAAAATGTAGGATCACTAGGATTCTATATTGCCTACAGGGCAACAACTTTATGAAAATTTAGTATATAATTTTTCCATAATATCTACTTAAACACACTGTAACTAGCTGGACGTGGAGACACTTTAGATGCTTTGACAACGGAGATTTCTGCTAACGGAAGAAATCAAAAGAAAAGGGAAAGTGGCATAACACACATTTCTTTTTGCCAATGGCATAGTCTGAGGGACCCCATCATTATCAGTTTGAAAAAGAAGATAAACATGAGGTAAGAATCAGTATGGTGAACAAAAATCAGATTAAAAAAGATAAACACAATTTGCACATACTTAACAAAAATATAGTTAAAATAAATGTACTCTGCTTTGTATGAGTCCTTCAAAGTGAATCGCTATAATCAATACATTTTAATCAGCATTAATGCAGATACGTATCTGTCAATCTTATTTTGAACTACCTAGGACCCTAAACCTGACCTGCTCTGGTATAAAAAAGTCTACTTTTGTTCACAAAGCTAAGGGCTGGTAGATCCCCTCCTACCTCATACCAAACAAACAATAGCTAGCCAACGTGGGCCCACCCTGGACTTTGTGAAGAAAGTTCAATATTTGCAGGATACACCAGTTTTCAGAGTTTCTTGGGCACTCAAAAATACACTGACAGGTATATACAGACTTACTTTACATAGCTATTGCTGGTTTACAACATTATTTGGATGGAAAAGTTTGCTTTAAGAATTAGACTAAACACCATAAAACACATTATGCTATCAACTAAATCAGGCATAAAAAGTTAGAGTATACCTACAACACATGATTAAAAGAAGTGTGTAACTATAGTATTATCCTTCATGGATATATGTGATATGCACATGAAAATAGAATATATTAACACTTTATACCTGCAATAACCTTGTTGAAAGTCTGATTTCAGAGGATATACAGTAAATGATATACACAGCATTAAAATGGTTATTACTTACATTGCATTCTAAATGCCCGGCTTATAGCACTCTCCATGGGACAAGATATTCTAAATAGTCACATTTTGGTACATTTATTAAGTTAGGATTACATATGTCCTGGTTGATGTGTTACGAGAACTGATTTATGACATAAATGACTTGCATATAACCTAATAAGTGTATGCACTTAACGATATTGACACAAAATAATTTTACCCCTAGTATTTCTATAGTATACAGTAGGTCAACACACCACCCAAACTATTGATTAAGAACATATTGTATGATCAGCAAAGTAATAGGCTTTGTTTATTTCTGGGGTAATCATCCATGATTAAACCATTTAGGTTGCATCTTTCACTATGTTTCTATTTCATTCTCTGTACATAACCAAAGCGAACAGCAGAGCAAGAATGCATAGTGCCCCCATTACATAAACTATTGACGATGATTTCTCTTCATGGGCCCGAACCACGCGGGTCTTAGTAGGTTTCAGTATCCGATCAAATGTAGTCATAATTTGCTTCCTGGCCATTGGCCATTGTCCTGGACCTCTCAAGCGGTACTGTGCTGGTGTGCATGGTCCAAAGACTACTTTTAAAGCTAGAACAGGATCTGTCACAAGCAGTCCTAGAATATTAGGCTTACAACCTATTTCTGTGGCTATCTCATCCAGATATTCAATGTAATCCAGCTGAAGACTGTACTCTTTACCAAATCTGTAAAAAGTACAAATTAACAAGGTCATTGATTATATTTCCACTACATGGACTAGTTAAAGAAGAACTCCAGGCAAAATTATTACTAACGCTTGCACTAGGGCTAACACCACACTACATAGTTTAACTGCTTGTTTGTGTCTAGGGCTGAAAATAAAAAAGTTATACTTACCCAAACCTCAGAACCAGCTGAGTGTTGTAGCGCTCCCTTAAGCCTCTTTCCTCTTGCACTGTAGCAATGGAATGTCGCTCGCCGTGCTCACTTCCAGTGCAGTGCATTGTGCATGATGACTCAAGGATCCTTAGACCACTGCAGCAGAGGGGGAGAGACACTGGAAGGACTGGTCTAAGAGCTGGCTGGCTCAGAAGATCAGGTAAGTATAACTTTTTTTCAGCCATTGAGACAAAGTTGCAGTTAACTTTTGCAGCACGGGGTAGCCCCACTGCAAGCATTAGCAATATGTTTACCCAGTGTTCTGCTTTAAGAGATGTGAGTATAATTCCCTTTTGTCCCCTTATTTTTGGCAAACTTGAAATTATGAAAGGCAGAGCAATGAAATACAATGGCATTGCCTACAGATCACAGCGAATACTTTAACCACCTGCACAAAATAGATGATAATTCTGTTTGCAGACTTTACAACCTCTTTGCCATGACTTAGGCCTCGTTCACACTGAGGATGGTGTGAACGAGGCCTTAGGAAATCAAATAGGTCAAAATGCAGATAAAGTGCATGGCAATAAAAACAATAAAGCAAGCTTGCCACATTATGATTTTTTTACATTAAGGGGTAATTTAATAAATTTGACAGATTAGATATTCTGAGTTAAATAAAACACCCAATTAGGCTAAAGGGAATGTAACTTCACTGGGTCATGGAATAGAAAACAGAACAGTTGTTATGACAAGCCTTTATTATAGCGGAGGTGTATAAATCTAACTCCCAAACCACTCCTCATGCCTTTTATTCAAGGGTCTTTTGACCAGTCTGATGACTTCACAGGTCCTTCCTCTTGTTTTCTGGGGGTGGCAATGGAGAGTCCTTGCTGCTGCACTAAACAGCACTCACATGTGAGCATTGCTAAAGCAAGTACTTCTCTTAACCCAAGCTGTGTAATTACATAATTACATTTTTACAGGAGGCAGGTCTATGACAGCCTTGGATCAGAGGGGGTGGTTTGAATGGTGCTGGCCATCATTCAACCCGGAAAACTGAGGACATCTAGTGACAGAATTATTATTGAGGGGGGGAGCTGAATATGTAGGTGAATATTGTGAAAGCTACTTTTATAACTATTACTAGCTAGAGTTTAACTTTAAGTTATCAATAAATCTAAAAATTATCAATAAATACCTTTGTAACAAAATTTTCTTTTTTAGGTCAATGTCCTTTTGAATCCTGTCCTGTGATGGCAGTTTACACAAACCTAGAAATAATGACCATTAACATAAATATTAGAACATAAACATACAAATATTTCTCCATGACATGTTATACCCAGATAATATAGAACTAGTCCTGTATTAGCGCTCATTTACACCAGAGCACTGCGGTAATACATGTTACTGATTTTTGTTTTTAATCACAAAAGCTAAAGCCGCTTCTGCAATCCTCAGATCAATTATCTGGGTCTGTTCCCCTGACACAACATTCAACAAAGTTTTGGAAGCTTCCAAAGGGTAAAATCAACTTTGTTCAGCACAAGCACAGACACTCTACACAGGACCCCCCTCTGACAAGTTTCACACCCTACTGGGGCTTAATCATAGAGCAGGAGGACATGGGAGAGGAACAGGTATACTGTATATATACTCCCCATGTTTATTATCATTTAATGCTCACTTATATCATTAATACCATGCAATCGTTACTGAAGCATTTCATTTTATTCCTACCACCACCCCCCTCCACATTAAAACCAACGTACCTAATACAAAAATGTAAAACCAAAAACATTTCCCCAATCTATTTACATTGCAAACTCTGAAGTTATGCAGGATGGTCATGATATTTCACAAATAGTCATATTTCCTCAAAATTTTCAGTACCCTTTTCCATATTTACTTAAATTACAATATATAATCAAAGTTTTATTTTTGTCAGAAATGAAAATATTGTTCAGAAATATAATCTAAATGCCTGAAAAGAGTTAAAAGGTTATTAAAATGGTTAAAACAGGAAGACCAGAAGGGAACCCAAAAGAGGGCTAAAGGAGAAAAGAGAGGGTGGAAGGGGAAGGCAGAAAGGGACAAAGGAAGAGAGGGGAGGTGAGATAAGGAATGGGAGAAAAGAATGGGGGACAAAAGGGCATGATGGAAAACAGGGGGAGCAAAAGGGTGGGGAAGAGGAAAAGAAGGAGGAAGGGATGAAGGGGGTAAAAAAGGTGTAGGTGAGGACGTGGAGGGTTTTTTGTTATAAATATGTTGCTTTTAATGTTAAGGGGAGTAAATGGATAACACGAAATGTTTTAGTAATAATTGGAACTATATTAATGAAATCAGTAAGGGCTTATTATACTTTTGGGCACTAAACATGGAGAGTGTATATATAGCATTCCCCCACCCCCATGTCCTCTTGCTCTATGATTAAGCCTCAGTAGGGGGTGAAACATGTCAGAGGGAGGATCATGGGTGGAGTGTCTGTGCTTGTGCTGAACAATAAAGTGATTTCATGCTGTGCAAGTTGTGTGGGGCTCCAGAATTTTTGTTGTTGTTGTTGAGGAAAGTATTAAAACCAGTATTTTGATCAGAAGAAGGTTTAGCCATTAGACAACTTTTGCAGTATAATGTGAGAGTAATGGTATAACACATGAAAATACTGGGTTTTTTGATAAGTCCATTCCTCTTGATATGTGCTCTAACTACAGGATCAAACATAACTGCAGACATAGAAAACAACTGGAACACCTGAAATAGTATTTTCTGGCATGCACACAAATGCAGGTATTAGTTATAGCCCAAAGCAAACATTCTTCAGCCTTGAGTACTTAAGATGCCTACCTAGTTAGGAAGCACACAGAATTACAAGTGAGTACCCAGAATTACAAGCAGTTTTTTAAATTTATCTTGCTTGCTCAAAAGAAAGCAGGATAAATCGGGAGAAGGATAATTATTTTGTTTGCTGTATTTGTTACTTATACTACAAACTGAAAATCATTGGAACAAACCCAGCTTAGTACTTCTTCAGCATATTCATATAATCCTACCTTTAAAGACTCTTGCTATCCATCGAGCTTGTATTTCTGAAGCTGCCATGATTGGACCAAGTGGCTGAATAAGACCAATAACACCCAGCGTGGCCTTTTCCAAGTTTTTAGGGAAGACACTTTTGTACAGATTTATTTTGTTTTCAATCTTTATTATGGATTTATCGATGAATGGAAATGAGTACTGATATCCCGTAGCAAACACAACAACATCAATGTTTTCCTCAATGCTCCCATCATCAAACTTCACAGATGTTTCTGTGAACTCCGCCACATTGGGCTTCACCACAATGTATCCACAGATGATACGACTTGGTAGTTCATCATTAAACAACGGTTCTTTAAACTGAGTACTATGAAAACAAAGAGCCAATAAATGCTTAGTATAAAAACCATAAGAGATTAGACACTTTTTTTCTGCAATCCAGGAAAAATCTAGATCCATCACTATTAATTCATGTATATCACTGTATATCACTGTAATCCAAACTTAACTAATCGTTTATTTCCATAACTTAAAATGCTTTTTTGCAATCAATGTGTGTCAAAAACATTGGTAAGAAAATAAAATGGAATAAAATGAAACAAGACTCAATCATCAAATTATGTTTGGCAATAGCAAATATTAGGTAACATTTGTCATATGAAAATGATACAATTGCAGTCTAATGTACCAAATTGCTAACTAGTTAAACAGTATTTAAAGTCCATCCTCTCTGAGTGATAAATAGACATTTTTAATATACGCTGCCATGTAATTTTCCTCTTTTGCAAAGGTAAATGCAGATGGGAAAGATGGGGTTTCTCTGCATCCTACTAAACAGTTCTGGGGGAGAGAGAAAGATTGACCATGGACTTTGCACTATTTTTCTAAGCTTCTGCAGATAAATAAATGTGTTGTCAATCTAACAGGTGTGGGTGGAGCTAGGTATGGCTATTCCCTTATGAGGTTATTGAAGGTGACAACATCTAATCAACTACAGCAGCAGCAAATGTGACAACACTGCAGTAACTTCATTACAGAAGAAGCAGAGTTATCACCCTATCAAAGAAAGTACTTATCCAATGGTTCGATTGGCAGGATTAACAGATATTTAAAAAAGGTTCCAGGGAGAACAGAGTACAGAGAGCCCAATCTTACTGGTAAGGGCAGCCCATGTCACATGTTATTCACAGTTTGCTTAAAGTTCTTATTTAATTTTTGTAATCAATCCAATATGAATATATACCTTTTCTTTAGTCTGCACTGAAAATATTTTGTGAACACCCCTGTTTTATTGTGTTAATATCTACATACATTGTAAATGATGTGTGTGTTCTTCATTAATAGCTTTCTTCTCATTTCTATGCTTAGGTTTCCCTGCTGACTCAACCAGGCTAAATCCGTGAGAAATATAACAATTGTAATATAAAAGAAAATATAGGGGGTTATTCACTAAAGAGCCAAAGGATCCAGCCGTAGCTTCGAATAATCCTTCGGCTCTCTTTGGCCGCCGAAGCCCTTCAGCCCTGCCCAGTTGTTATTCATTGGCCGAGACCTGCTAGAGAACTCTAGCAGGTGCAGGCCAATAGGAAACATTTGGGTGGAGCTAGCTGTCACAACTAGTTCCGTCCAATTGTTTTTTTTCTTTTCTTTAAAATATCTTTATTTTTTTTTATTTTACTTTTTGTTTACATTTTTAAATATTTTTGCAACTAATTTTTTTTCCATTTATTTAACAGTTTTGCTATTCAGCTCGGTACCTCGGAGGTTCGGCTCACTTCGGCTGGGTTATTCACTCAGCTGGCTTCGGCAGCTTTGTGAATAACCCCCATAGTTTCAGGGTCTCAACAAATCATCAGTAAAACACTTATAACTAGCAAAATTATACCTGTCTCTAGGCTGAAGACCATAGTGAGCATGGTCAAACCATTCATTCATTTTCTTCTCAGTCATCCATGTAATAATAGAGGTTGGCAGTGTGTTCCTCAGCAGATTTTGAAACCGTGTGTCAAAACAGATATCCCATGGAAAACCCTGATCAAATACTCGGCTCATAACCCAGCAGCCTCTCCGGGTGCTAAGATATACCTGCAAAGAATAAAATGCTACCACCGTAAGCACTATAAGTATGACCAGGTACATACACTTTGATGTTAACAAGACCAGGAAATGGAAAAATAAGTGGAAGACATTGTGCACATAATGACCTTCATATTTAAAAAAAAAAATTTCTTCCATGTTTTTAAGGCTTGTGTTTGTCTTTGTAGTGCCATAACTGATATTTCTGAGAGAACAGCATTCACTGACAAATTTGTGTAAGCCATGGTCCTTTATATTCAAATGTTTCACCTTTGGAGAGGTTTCAACCAGGAGTGTTGGCATGTGTTGAAGTAAATCTCGCTATAATATACTTACAGGGTTATTCACAAAGCTGCCGAAGGCAGCCGAGTGAATAACCAAGCCAAAGTGAACAGAGACGAACGACATTCAGCTATTCACTCCGGCTCAGTATGGCTAATTTCAGCTGTACATCAGCTGAAATCAGGCGTATATCAGCTGCCTACGGTCAGCTGAACCCGAACATGCTTTGCATGTTCGGCTGAGCCGAAGTGCAGAAGGAGTTAGGCTCAGCCGATTCAACATTTGGATCGGCTGAGCTGAAGCTCTGGCAGCTCACTATATACTATACACTACACTATATATAATATTTTAAATAAAAGAAAAAAAAGAAACAAAATTGGCCGGGCTAGCAGTGACAGCTAGTAACAGCTAGCTTCGCCCAACTGTTTCGTATTGGCCGGCACCTGCTAGAGTCTTCTAGTAGGTCCCATCCAATGAATAACAACTGGGCGGAGCCAGCCATGATGTCATTGACGGCACTGCCCAGTTATTATTGTTTAATGATAGATCAGTATCCACCGATGAGATTTGGGGACGCTGATCTGTCATTACAACGGGAGGAGTGAGCCGTAACATCACGACTGGCTCCGCCCAGCTGTCATTTGCGGGGTGAACGTCCAGCCTTCGGCAGGCCGTTCTCCCTTCTTCGAGCCGAAGCATATGCCTTGGGCTCAGGTGAGCCGCTCGGCCGTCTTTGGCTGCTGTACGGGCTATTGTGAATTGCCTGTACAGCAGGCCTTCAGTTCTTCAGATGTGCAAATTATGGTAAAGACAACCAATCAGCTGCAACTGCTCTGTATGCAGCTGGTGGGTGTTGTTGCTGACATCATCGTGCCTGCACTATACTCGTAGTCGTAAACTGATTGGATTACATACAATCATACATCAAGCATATATCATATATCAAGCAAATGGGCAGAGTCAGCAAGATGGGATGAGGGATGACAGCCTTGCCAGAAGTACCGACTCTGCAGTACTAAGTCTGGAGAATGGAGACTATGGATGAAGGCAAGTATTACTGGGTCACAGAAACATTAAAAAAACAAAATAACATTAGAGTGGCTGGGAGTGGGGCAAGGGCTATACACTAGTGTTTTGTTTTTTTCCATGGCCACATTTCAGCTTTATTCACATTTATACCAACACAATGTTTGTAAAAGAAGCTAATGTAAATAACAATTATAATATTTTGTTATTGTTTTGTCATTCTTTGGATCCATAGAAAATATTTTTATCATACCTGAGATGCAGTACGACTCAGCTCCACAGCTAGATCTGTTCCTGAATTTCCCATTCCTACAACAAGAACCCGTTTTCCTTTAAATCCTTTGCTGGTTTTATACTCTTTACTGTGGAAGTATTGTCCTTTAAATTTGCTTATTCCTACAAGATAATCAAATTAGAAACATTTCAGGTAGATTATGTTAGAACAATTTGCACTGTTTTACCTTTACAGGTTCCCATTTTCTGTGGTTGGCTCCCAGAATGACTCATCTGCAATGCAAACCTCATCTAAGTCCTCCTGCCATTTACAACAAGCTAATCTAGTGCATTGATGCTTAGGCACTCCACTTGTAATACTAGCTTCAGCTTCCAATGTAAGTGTGTTGCTAAGATTCAGATATATTTGGAAAGACCACAGATCCAGCGATCATCAGTGCAACATTCCGCTCTCGGTCACTGATTCCTACTACTGCCTAACACTTACAGGCGAAAGAAGTGAAAGTGGAAAAGAACAGTGTAGATTCAGCAAGCAACAAATCACCATTGTCGAACTCTGCTTTCACTAGTTCTAGTAGCTATTGACAAAAAATTTATCTTATTTGTGTATCACTCAGTGCAGTGTGTTGTAAAGTAGCCACATTTCCAAGCTCACTCCCATGACAGACTATAACTTCAATACAAATTAGTAAATGTGAGATTGTAATCCAATACGGGAGTGAGCTTGGAGTGGTGGCTACTTTACAACACACACAGGGACCATGGGGAAGCCACCCTTCAGAAGGTAGGACAGTGCCACCATGAATTCAGAGATGATTTGAGGATCTACAGCTGTAGTGATACACAAATAAGATAAATGAAAGGTACTTGAATGCCTTTTTAAGATTTAACTCCTAAGTTTAGTGTCACTTTAAAATCTATTAGGGCATAATCAAGGATACAGAAGGCTAAAGACATTTTAATCTCCTCCCCTGTCTAACTCAGCCCTGGTATGTGACTGATGAAAATGTACACTATCTAAAGCAATGCATAAATTGTTGATGCTAAATAATGCCTGTAATAAATAAGTAAGGGAGGATACAGAAAGTGGAAGACTGCAATCTATTAGGGTATAAGGAAGAATGCAGTAGCTGGAAGACCTTATACTTTACTAGGGCATAAGAGAGAATGCAGAAGGTTGAAGAGCTTACAATATAAAATGAAAATAATGAAGGATATAAAAGGTGGAACAACTGGCAATTTAAAAGATTATAAGGGAGAATACAGAAGGTGAAACAGCTTAATTTTTTTAGAGAGTAAGGGAGGGATACAGAAGGTGAAAGAGTTTACGATGCATTGGGGTACAGGAGAGGATACAGAAGCAGAAGGAGCTTACACTCTTTTAGGTTATAAGGAAGGATACAGAAGGTGGAAGAGCACAATCTAATAGGGTATATGGGAGCAATATACAAGTTGGATGCACTTACAATATGTGTCTTTGAGTACGTCCTTTAAAATTTGTGGGGCCACAAAAACACACTGGGAGGCCAAAAAGAATTTACATGCTGCAATTACTTTCAGCACTAAGGACAGGTTCACACCATTTTCCGGACCAGATCTGGAACCCAGTGCATTGCATTTTGCCGCATTTGTACTGCGATTTTGCCACGTTTAGAAATGTATATATTTTTTTTCGTTTCAAATGGTCTTACATGTGCATTTCAGTGCATTTGTATTCATTTTTTATGCATTTGTATGTGCTTTTCAGTGCATTCCAGACCAGATAAAATAAGACAAGCAGTATTTTTTTCTGGTCTGGGACAGACTGCACTGGCATGAACAGAGGCCAGAAATAGCACAGGGATACATTAGGATGCATTTTGGGTCCGGAAACAATCTGGTCTGGAGATGATCCAAACATGGAGTGAATGGGCCCTAAGGGGCAAGTATGTTTGTTTTGTCCATGTATGCACATTGGAGTTGCATTGAAACTGAATCACAATACACTGCCACACACATACATTGGGTGATTTAGTTAAGTGTATTTTACTAGAACAGCAGTTTTGAAATTTTATCTATTCACATGTAATATGCTCACAAAGTATGTATGGAGCTTACTGTTATGAAAAAATTATCATTGCACTTAAAGGTTTGCACAGTCATTTATGAATATATGACTACAGACATTACTCACCAGGAAAACTTTCCAGTGGACAGTGTGGGTCTGTATGGTGTCCACTGCAGACAATAACAGCATCAAAAATGCTAGTCTGTTTCTTTCCATCTTTTTCTGTGGTGACTTCCCACTGGCCAGTCATAGGAAAATTGGGATGTTTTTTCACACTGCAAACCAATGTCTAAAATGCAACCACAATACGGCATTGTAAGTTTTATTAAAACAAACTATAATAGTTTAATCAATTTTATTTTCTGTTAAAATCCTCCAAACCTGCTTTACGAATAATTTGAAACAGATCTTAAGTCTCCTCCCAAATATGTTTTTCCCCTCTCTATCTCCCCCATGGCCTACTAAGTAAACTGCAATGGCTCATAACCACCTACCACCATCTCTAAAATGAATGATCACAGAATATAACAATAATGAATAAATAATGTTACAATACATTTCATGGACTCCAAACAGTGGTTGTAAGAAGGCTATATGTGTTCAAAACACAGTTTGTTCATAAAGAAAAACACATATACCAACATCCAGACTGGCTTGTATCTAGCACTATTTGCTGGAACTTCTGACACTCCCTTTTCAGGAAACTGCTTATGTGGTGAAACGTATTAAGGAAACTAGTGTTTTAACAGCGTGTGCAGGTTGGTAGGGAGGACTTTTGCATTTATATGTTTTATACATTTGAGTCTAGTTAAATATATAGTTATTTGATATATATGTGAAGCAGTTTCCAAAAATCCTATTTCTCTTACGTCCTTTAATACAATTCTGTTCTGTGGGGCCAGATTGTATGCTGCACTGCAATTAAAACATTTTTTGAATAATGTATTTTTTGGCACAAATTACAACTAGTGATGGGCCGAACAGGCCCGAGTTAATTTCGAATTCGAACTTTAGAACATCCAAATAGATTGAATTCTCGAAAATTCTAAACTCGAACTCAATGCAAGTCTATGGGGGTAGAACTTTCAAAAACAATTGTCCCCCTTAAGAGGGCATATATGCAAGTTATTGGCCATAAAAAGGGCATGGGTATTTGGTTACTGCCCCGGGGGACAGGAATCAATGAAAAAATGCTTATACCTTGTCTAATTACTTACTTACCTTAAACTGGATGTATTTCAGCAGGCCAAACCTCTCAGCATATTGCCTGTAGTATTCCACCATCTTGGTGTTGTGCAGAAAGTTGGGACAATCTTCTGGGAAGGGAAAATCACTGTAACACATCATCTCTTTACTGGTGTTGGTAACAACAGACTCATAAATGCTGGCTCTACCATCCTGCACCTCTGGCTAAAGAACAAATAAAATCAAGGGTAAAAAAAGTGAGATTCTTTTAAAAACAGCAGTTCTACAACAAAAGAGTGTGAATCAGTGACGTGCAATATCTTTGAGGCATTCCCCAGCCTCGCCCCCCAGCATGCCCCACCCCGCAACCAAATGAAGCCCTGCCCCTGCCCACCTAAGCCCCGCCCCAAACCCATTCCCCAAGCTAGTGTGAAGCAGGGAGGGAGGATGAAGGGAGGAGACAGGGAGGAGCCTTCCTGTCCCTCACTTGCTCATCACTGCTGAGGCATCGAGATCGATGGCCTCAGTGTTTTTTTTTTCTTTTTTTGATTGGACAGCTTGGACCAATGGTGCTTTGCTATTGGTCCAAGCCATCCACAGAGCTCATGCCTAGAGGCTGTGACAGCTCTTGCCTCACTTGTTAGTTTACACAAGCAGTGGGGAAGACTGCTGCTGTGTAACCTAACTACCTGTCAAAAGCCGGACGCAGTGCCGCCTGTAATTAAGAATGTTAGAATTGTCAGAGGAACAGGAGGTTAAAGGAAATTGTCCAAGGGAGAAAACTGTGCCATTGGCAACTGTCTTCCGTTTGGAGAGGTTTCCTCTTATTTCCTCTTGGAGTTTGGGATAGCAGTAGAACCTGGCAGAGGTTCTAATCCTTCCCCAGTCTATCCAAAACTGAAAAACATAATTTTGACTCGACTTACAGTTTAAGTTTTAAGGCCCAAGTTAAAGTAGACCTTCAGTTTACGTTTAAACAAATTCATCTTAGTCAAAGAAATGCAGATTGTGCAGAAAAGTCTTAAATTGAAAAGATAAAAATATCAAGACAAAGATATATTCTTATCATATTGAAAATACACAGCCTGCCAAAGTGTCAACGATGAGGGTCAAGTAACTACTTGAAAGGACATGGGTCAGGGAGAAATATTTGTTATTATTGTTGGGAGAATTCTTAAGCAGTTGTTAAGCACTTGCTGCCTGAAGCAATTTCTTACATTTGCACACACATGATAAAATCAGAATTTTTGGCTAGAAAACAGCTTCAGCCCCCCAAACAATGATATATTTGCTGAAAGCAGGGGCCCTGTAGAATAAAAAGAAGCTAGTTGCAATTTTATATGTCGTACAGTATTTGCACAAATGTTTATCAAACCAGTATTTTTAGGATAAAATACACTAAAATGAAATTTATTGCACAGAAACAGAATGTAATACCCATTTTTTTGATAAATATAAAAGACGGGGTCACTCCGGGTAAATAGATACCAAACATGTCAAGCCTTAAAATTGCGTGCATCCGTGAAACTTCAAAAAACTACTATAACCAAAATTTCCCATGGGCGAAGCTTTAAACGTTTTTAACTGCTCATCTTATTATTGCTCTCATTCCGATGCTCACGACGATATGTAACATGTGTGACACAATTTTAGTTTTTGCACGTAGGCGCATCTAATGCGTATTTGTGTTGTAGGTGTGTGCACGTGGGGGGTGGGGGACTTTACATTTTTTTTTGCATTTTCAATTTTTTTAATCTTTTACTTTGATTTTTACACTTTTTTTGTACTTAACTTTATTGCTATCACATAGGGAGCTAACAAGCCCACTATGTAATAGCAAATATAAAGTGACAGGTCCTCTTTATGGAGACATTAGGGGTCCTTCAGACCCCTAATGTCACCTAGGCACCCCAAAGAAGCTGATGAAGCAGAGATCTGCTTCACCAGCTTCTTCTTCTGGCTCTAGGAGAATGTGTACAGTGACACCGGAAGTGATGTAATGGACATCACTTCCGGGTCCATTGATCGGAGGAGAGATCAGCGGCTGGAAGCCTGCTGATCTCTCTCTGATCCATCAGGGGAGACCCACCGTGCCAGTCCCAGGCTCTCTCGGGGGACAGTGGAGCCCGGGAAACCGACGGTGGGAAAGGGGGGGGGGGGGGGGGGGACACGGCACTGCACCGTACAAGTGATCCGGCGCCTGTACAGACATCGGATCGCTTGTATTTAAACAGCAATCGCCTGCTGTTTAAAATGGCAGCCGTGTTCTTGGTATAACCACTTCCAGCGGAGGACGTACATTTGCATGAACCCGCTGGAAGTGGTTAAATGAAAAAAGAACTTCAAAATATCAGTATTACTATTTTTCTGTTGCATAGAAGTAAAAAAAAAACAACACATTTTATCACATACTTTGTAATTCCAAAGGCCACCAACATCGTCAGTCCTCTCAAAACAAACAGGCTCCAATCCTTCATCTAGGCAGCATTTAATGGATGTCAGACCACTGTTCCCTGCTCCAATCACCGCAACTTTCATGTTGATGTTTACCTGTAATAATCAAGAATTTGGATCTGTTACCCACATTTGTGTTGTATTCAAGGTCATCCTCATACAGCATTTTTGTTACCAATATTTTAGGATTACCCGTATTCAAAAACACACATAAAGAAGCAGGCAAGATTAGTCAATGCAATTATTCGGCTTAGCAACAATTGAGAGATCAGCCTCACAGGAGCAGCATTGTTTTTAAAGACTGGACAGAATTATTGCTTTGTGAGAAGGGGCAGTGAAGTGCGACCACTGTGTAGCCCTGTATTTCCGGACGTGTAGCCTGAATGTGTAAAGTAGACATGTGCGATTCGTTTCGTTACGAATTGAAATTCGTACGAATTTTCCTGAAATTCCGAATTTCGGAGCATCCGAAATCCGAATGGCAGTTTCCGAATTATATCCGAAATACGAAATTCCGTTAACGAATTTCGGATCCGAATTTCTTTGAAACAGGAACTAATATTACCCCTGTAAATGAGGTTGAACAACATGACAAGATTTTTTTTAAATCCGAGATACGGATCCGCTGCTGCTGATGCATTACAATACACAGTTACACACACAGGCAGGAAATACGAAATTCCGTTGACGTATTTTCGTTCCGTTACGAACATTCGTTATATTAAAGTTAAGAAGCAAAGTACATTTATATTGGAGTTGATGGTAGTTTTTTTTTAAAGTCCGAAATACGGAATTCGGAATACGGAATCCGTTAACGGAATTCGTATTTCGTTTTGGTTGACCAATCAGAGGTTCTCTTCTGCTGCTGAGAGTTGCATTACAAATACAGGCAGGAAATACGAAATTCCGTTGACGTATTTTCGTTCCATTACGAACATTCGTTATATTGAAGGTAAAAAGCAAAGTACATTTATATTGGAGTTGATGGTAGTTTTTTTTTAAAGTCCGAAATACGGAATTTGGAATACGGAATCCGTTAACGGAATTCGTATTTTGTTTTGGTTGACCAATCAGAGGTTCTCTTCTGCTGCTGAGAGTTGCATTACAATACAAGCAGGAAATACGAAATTCCGTTGACGTATTTTCGTTCCATTACGAACATTCGTTATATTGAAGGTAAAAAGCAAAATACCTTTGTTAATATATTGGAGTTGATTGATGGTAGTTTTTTTTTAATCCGAAATACCACTCCATAACAAAGGTATTTTGCTTTTTAACTTCATCATAACGAATGTTCGTAAAGTTACGAAAATATAACCGCCACTAACGAAAATTCGTATTTCGTACGAATCCGAATTGAGTTCAGTTACGAATTACGAAATACGAAATAACGGATATTCCGAAACGAAACAGAACACATTTTTTGACGGCGCACAAGTCTAGTGTAAAGCGGGCCATACACTGGATGGGGATGGGGGAGTGGGTATAGGCGAGGGTGACACACAGTGCTTAAATTTTGTCAGAGTGAGGTGGTCCCAAACTATTAGTGTCTTCAGCAAGTTTTAAAACTTTTAGCCACCTTTGCACATCCAAAACGCCTTTAACCCTTTTACTGCCAGAGCCATTCTTTTATTGTTTGCACACATGTTAAAATGCATATATTAGCCTTGACGATTCCTTAAACCCCCCAGAATCATATATTTTCTAATAACATAAACCCTACTGAACAAAATGGTTGCAGTTGCAATTCTATATGTCACATTATATTAGCGCACCTGTTTACCAAACCCATATTTTTAGTAAAAATATACTCAAATTAATTTTAGTGGTACACAAACACAATATAATACCTGATTCCTTGGTAAAATCTATAAGATGAGGCTGTGTTGAGTAAAGAAATACCAAACATGTCAAGCCTCAAAATTTTGTGCAAATTTAAAATGGTGAAAAGCTACAGTACCCAAATTTGTCCTTATGTGATGATTTAAAAGCCTGTATAGGTCATTAGTTCAGAGTTAACAGTGAATTTTGGTCCTAGGATTATTGCACTCACTCCAGTGTGCATGCAAATACCTAACATGTATGGCACAATCTCGTTTTTGTACACAGGAGTCACCTGTAATCAAACTTTGATTTTTTTTACATTTTTATGTCTTTCTTTCTTTATACTATCAAATTATAGCACAGGCAAAGTGACAGGTGCTCTATAAGTTTGAATAGTGATGTCATCGGCACACCAGCACGACAGAATCTAAGTCAGTGCAAATCCATTTATTGATAAATGTCACTCAAATATCAAGCGCTTTCGGGGCCACATAGGGTCCCCTTCATCAGGCTCAGAGTAGTCATGTCTGATGAAGGGGACCATGTGCGGCCCCGAAAGCGCTTGATATTTGAGTGATATCTATCAATAAATGGATTTGCACTGACTTAGGTTCTGTCGTGCTGGTGTGCTGATGACATCTCTATTCAAAGTTGTTCTGTGTGTGGTGCCATCCGCAGTCATTTTGAGCACCCATTAACACTTCCGGTAAGGAGTGCTACAGGACTTATGGACATAGGTTCTCTATAAGGGCAGAGGAACATTCCCATACTCCAGTACCTTACTCTTTACCTAAAGTGCACAAAGGCACTAACCCGCTGACTTTCCGGCCTATTGTCTCTGGTTCTGGTTCTGTTACACAACCTTTAGCACAATTTGTAGATTTTTTCCTACAGCCTCTAATCATCTTGCTACCAGCATACATCAAAGACACAGAGGACTTTCTACATAAGATACCTGTAACTGACACTGTCGAACAAGGATGGAAATTAGTCATGATGGATATCTCTTCATTGTATACATGTATACCAAATAAGGCAAGCCTTACAGCCACTGAGCATTTCTTACCACGTGATGGCACGCAGGATGTTCCATCATACTTTATTCTTCCTCGTCTTGACTTTATCCTCCAGAATAACATGTTTATGTTCAAGAAACAGGCTTTCAAGCAGATAAGGGGGACTGCCATGGGCAACTTGGCCGCCCCTGCATTCGCTAACCTCTTTGTTGGCTTCTTGGAAGAATGCCATGTGTATAAATCAGAATAATATAAACGATGTGTTAAGACATGGATTAGATACATAGATGACACATTCTATATCTGGTTTGGTGATCATGATGCCTTTGATGAATGTCTGTCTTTTTTGAATTGTCTTTTTCCAGGCATTATATTCAATCCTGTAGTATCAGAATATGAGATCTCATTCCTACATGTTCTAGTCACTATTGTTGATAGTAAAATTACTACATCAGTTTACTCTAAACCTATCGACAGGGATACACTACTACACTATAGTAACGCTAACACCCCAAACGTGGCAACCTAACCATTTCGCCGTTTTTACAGGTCATGCGTATTTGCTCTGACCCTAACAGACGAATGGCACAAATTGCCAACATGCATGACAAATTCAGACAAAGGGGTTATCCTCTAAAGCCTTGGTTCTCAACTGGTGGATCGTGACGCAAAAGTGGGGCGCCACCCCGTGTTCAGTGGGTCACCGAATGCCTTCCACTTTTCTAGGTGAGAAGCTTCTCAGCCTCTCCGTTGCGCAGCACTGTCAGTCCTCACGCCAAACAGCCATTCAAAATATGCTGTCCGGTGCTGAGTGTCAGTTTGAGATGGGGTGGGCCGTGAGGGAGCTCCATCCATACTTGCATTTCTTGCTGCTCCCTTGCATGCCCTGTAGAGGTGCCTGGACCGGATTGATGTCACATTCTGGCACCTGACACCTCTACAGGGCCCACAAGAGAGCTGTCCAATCAATGCACATATGGATGGAGCTATGTCACATCACAGCAGCCCACAGTGGACCCCAGGCTGAGGATCCACTCCAGTTCTCGTAAGGTAGGGAGCACGCGGCTCCATTGTCCTGCCTTTCGCAGGCGACAGGTTAATGTAAGCAGCCAGGAGCAATAGCCAGATTGCTATTGGCTATTGTAAGTTGAAATAGCCCATAGCAGACTGACTATTGAAACCCCACCCACTGAGCAGAGGAGTGGAAAGTTGGCTCCTCTGCTCAGTGGGCAGGTGCAATAGCCAGCCTGCTATTGGCTTTTACAATATGAAATAGACGGGGGCACCATTGGGGGATGAATGGTCAAGGCTGCGCCCTAGGCAACAGTGCGCCCTGGGCGGCTGCCTAGTTTGCCTAGTGGCAGCACCGGCCCTGCCTATACTCTCTAACAGTCTGTGGCATCCATACTATGGCCTTGAACGCCATTACATTAGTATTATCCAATATATATTATATATTTCTTGACTACTATGTTTGTGATGACGTGTAGGGGTATAATGTATACCAACTATATCAAATGTGCAATTCTTATTTTTTCTCCATCGACCTCTGTTGGTACGGTATGGCTCACATATTGTCACATAGTGGTTTCATACATCATAATCAGCCACTAATTATTATACCCTCGATTGTTTTATATTATGACTCTGTATACCAGTGCATTAGCAATTTTGGTAAAAATAAGAAAAATAAATAAAAATGTTATAAACATATTTTAAAAAAATATAAAGAAATAAAAAAAAAGTGTAAGGTTCTCCCCAAAAGCCACACCAGGCCCTTTAGGTCTGGTAGGAATTTTAGGAGGGACCCCAAATTAAAAAAAACAAAACACCACTGACATCAATGACGTCATGGCTGGCTCTGCCCAGTTGTTATTTAATGACAGACCAGCATCCCCAGGCCATTGAGAGCCAGCCATGACATGCCATTTGCAGGGAATGCGGTTGGCTTTGCAGACCATTCGCCCTGCTTCAGCTGAGACTACGACTCAACCGAGCCAAAGCATATGCGCTTGGCTGCCTTCCTTGGGTGCTGTACAAGGTTATTGTGAATAGCCCGTACAACAACTGAACCGACGGGCTCCAGGGGCTGAAGTGACTCTTTAAGGGACTAATTTTTAAGATTTACCTATTGGGTTTATCTCACTTTAGGTCAGTAGATCAGAATGATAGCCAGTGTTCTCAATAAGCCCTCTGAATAATAATATCTACATTTAAAGACAACTGGCACACTTTGAGGGTTATTCACAAAAGAGCCGAAGGATCCAGCCATAACTTCGGCTGATCCTTCGGCTCAAGGATCAGGTTGGTAAGGTAGTGGGTGGAAGCTCGGGAGCAACGCGTTTCGAGGATGTTACCTCTTTGTCAAGCTCATTAGGGATGGTGTGTCAGCTTGACGTCAGTCCTCACATCACTGGCACTTCACATTGCTTCAGCGGGGACACGGACACACTGTGTGTGCCATCACCTGCACCCCTGTCCACCCCTCTCTTCTCATTTTCCTGTGATGATCTACCCAAGGCAACACACTAGCCTTCACTGATTGCACTACGTTGGACCCCACGATTTCCTTCACTGTTCCACATCCATCTGGTTCCGAGACCCTCTTGCTCCTTTCACTTTGTTTCAATCAGCTTCATAGTCCCTCCAGCCTTGCGCCCTCACGTTTGTTTTTTGGCTCCACAAGTGCAGGCACTCCTCCTGTCTCCTAGGGCTGCAGGCGAGGGAGAGCTTCAGCACCCTATTCCTTTGGCCCAATCCGAGAGCGCTGTTCGTATTATCTGTATAAAACCCAATAGGTAAATCTTAAAAATGAGTCCCTTAAAGAGTACATCACCACAGAGATGCTGACCACAACTTAACAATACAAAAATATTATTTTAGAGCAAACAAAAGACACAAATTTGCACACCTATAAATTCATAAAAACTTTAAAAACCATCCACCCCATACAATGCTTTATATCTCCATATATAAATAGATTTCTCCTTCACATGATTTAAAGTGACACTAAACTCCAAGCTCGCTCCCATGATGGACTACAATCTCAATACAAATTACTAAACTGAACATGTGATTTTAGTCCATCACGGGAGTGAGCTTGGAGCGGTGGCTACTTTACAACACACACGGACCATGGAGAACAAAATTAGCCACCCTCCAGAAGGAAGGACAGTGTCAGTATGAATTCAGAGATGATTAGAGGATCTACAGCCGAGTGATACACAGCTACATTGTTGTCAATAGTTAATGTACTTACATTTTTAAGATTTAACTCCTGAGTTCAGTGTCACTTTAAATCAACTAGGCAATGCTCCAGAACAATTATGCAGATTAGGAGTTGTCAGTTAGGAGTTGTCAGTTCATTGGTGACATACATGTTTTTAATAAATGGCTCAGTTTGAAGCTAGTAAAAGCCAGGCAACTTGTTTTTTTTTTTTTCAAAGAAGGTCAGGAATGAAATCCTTAGCATATCTCCTGATATTTGCCACTTAACATAAATATTGATATCTTCACATTTCATTTATCATAAAGATTTTAACGTGGATTAGATTTATAAATGAAATGTATGGATCTGTTCCCTGTTCTATTTTGTTAAGCAGCTTACTTGCCAGAGTATGAATATGTACTGTGTGATTACAAATACATTTTCATTATATGATAAATACAAATTATAAATTAAAAAATTATTTGTTAAAGCTAAATAGGAAATTATTATATTATTCATGTTTAACATTTTGAAAGAACACATTTTTAAAACTAAACTATATACAATCATAAAAAAAGTATATATATATATATATATATACTTTTTTTATGATTGTATATAGTTTAGTTTTAAAAATGTGTTCTTTCAAAATGTTAAACATGAATAATATAATAATTTCCTATTTAGCTTTAACAAATAATTTTTTAATTTATAATTTGTATTTATCATATAATGAAAATGTATTTGTAATCACACAGTACATATTCATACTCTGGCAAGTAAGCTGCTTAACAAAATAGAACAGGGAACAGATCCATACATTTCATTTATAAATCTAATCCACGTTAAAATCTTTATGATAAATGAAATGTGAAGATATCAATATTTATGAATATATAAAAAACTAAATAATCATATTTTATTCTAAATCCCCGCTCATCTTCTCCTTCGTCACATAAGAAGTTACTTGGAAATGGGCAGTTACATTCATGGCAATGTGTGTACAGCTTCAGTGAATTCACATGCACACTGAGACAGGGCTTTATCATCCTAATAAACTGCCAAAAATTAAAGGTCTGGGAAGAGAGATCATGACTATTGACTATTGGAATGGTTTATTGTTTGAACATGGATTATATGAAGTATATGAATTATTTAAATATTAACAAAATGAAATCTAACTCATATATACATATACTTTTTATCTTTATACAATGCTCCAATATTTGCACAGTAACAACACACATAACCTGTTACAGGGCATTGATTTTTAAAGTATGCAAACAGAATCAGTTTTGTATACTTACCTATTTTCTAGCAAATGAGTCAGTGCTACACTTCCCAATATGGACCTAATATACAGAAATACTGAATGACAAGTTGTAACAAATGCTGTGCATATAAAAGATAATAATAGGATATAAAATAATTCAGCTAAACCATACCAATGCTTATAGAATTTTAGAATAACACATTTTATGCATTAGTTATTACATGTTTGAAAGTATTGTTTCCCTATAGTTTGCTAACTATATACAGTATGTGCTGCAGAGACCAGTTACATAATCCTACACAAAATACTTACTTGATACAACTGTAGATGTCACTCTGCTGTGGTTGCCAGCCAGGTCAGTATCACTGAAGTGAAGCTTATTGATACTCATTTGAAAGTCTTGTACTGCTCCTCCCTTTAATCGCAAAGACATGAGATGTGGGTGTGCTGAACAAGAAAGGGCAATAAATCAGTGTCTAATGTGGCTTTAAATTAGTAATGTTGTTTATTGGCTAAATCAGTAAACTAAAAATCCAAGACACAACAGTTGTCCACAAACATTGCCATATAGTGTAGATATAGTAATAAATAGCAGAATGGTGCAGTGCTAATTAACCCCTTCATGACTGAGCTTTTTTTCAGCTTCTATTGATAAATGACTGAAGCACTTTTTACATTTTTGCTGTGTGATTCTTTCATGGCACTAATATACTTTCTTACTAAGTGCACCCACACATATTATATATTGTTTTTTAGAGGACAGATAGGGCTATATATTTATATCACATATTTGTGCCTAAAGCCTCACTTAGTACGAATAACATATATAAAAAAAAAGGAAAAAATGTGAAGAAAACTGTTTTTTTTGCTGTTGTTAAATAGCACAGCTAAAAAATATGCATTACAATAAATTCATTTTTTTGTCCTTTATTTGGAAACACCTCGTATCTCTAGGATTTCAGAAATGTTTCTGTACTTTTCAGCCTAAAACTATAAGCTAACATTTATTTTTTTTGCTCTATAAACTAACAATGGTTTGGTTAGGTGGCCTGCAATTTCACTGTCATTAAGTGTCACTAACTGTCACACTTAGAGACAGCAACATACTTTGAACAACGCCGTCATGAGGGGGTTAAATTAAACCAAATAACTCCTTTGGGTGAAAAACAAACCTGCAGCTCAGCTGCAGATTTTAATTGTAAGGGGTTAATTTGAATTATATCAAGCAGTCACTATGACTGCTTGCTAATTATTATTTTTTTACATTTTTGATTATTATTAGGCTGCTCCAAACTTAGGAACAGCCAATAATAACCTTAGTGCCAATGATCCTGACAGCATGACAGGATTAGATCTCACTAGGCTTCTGATCGTCCCGAGACGATCAGAAGTTTGATACATTGCAGCAAAAGAAATACATTGTTTCTTATTGCTGGCTGAAGAATGTAACAAAAGCCTATAAACATCGCAACTTGCCATGTCTGTAGAGCTGTCAAAAGTGAAATAGCAGAGCAGTGAGTCTGTTAGAAGGGACCCCACGTTTTTTTTCGCCTTTTTTTAGGGCTCCCCTTTAAAATTCCTACCAGACCTTAAGGGTCTGGTACAGATTTTGGGGGGAACCCGACTCCCACACCCGGGATTAGAACCTGCTACCTTAACAATGGCAAACCTGTCCCCTACCCTCTGCGCTATTGCTCCTGTACTTTAACCATAGAACTGTTGGAGAGGGTAACGAACCGAATCGCACATGTCTAACAATCATGAATGTCACCAACAAGAAAAGTGAGAGCCTCATTCACCAGAGCATCTGTGACCTGCATTAAACATAAGGTTTAGAAATGTTCCTTTATCAAATGGTAGTGTTGGCAGCAGGGTGGACAATGTACCTAATTCTTCCTTCCTTACTGATAAAATCTGATAACTGCTCCTAGGAACAGATACAAATTAGTAGAGTATGGCAATGAGGCTGATTTATTAAGGGATAATTAAACCTTCACAGTTTTTTGCATGTATCTACTGCAAGCATATAGGTTTAAACTTACCTGTGTCTCCACTGCGCGCTCCTGTCCTTAGATCTGAAGCCTCTCGGGCGGCCGCAAAGGTTCATGGGATGGGCGCATGTAAAGTAGAGATCTTCGGCCAGGAGAAGAGGAGAGACACAGAGTAAGTAAATCCGGGCAGCCCGGCAGCGTGCACCAGCACAGAGTCCGTGGGGCAGGAAGGGACAGGAAAGGACAGGAAGAGACAGGAGTCTGCGGTGGATCAGAGATCGGCACCATCATTGCAGGGGCTCCTGAAAACTGGAAAGAAGAAGATCGGATCAAGAGGCATAATTTAAGCTAAGTCCTTACATCAGCATGGGGGCGGGGAGGGGGATTAGGCTTCAATGTTATTTTAAAGAGGTTGAAAAACTTCACGCAATAAATTATATGAATATTCACTTCAACTATCCAATCATGTGAAAAGCAAATCCTTATTTACTTATTTCATCTGCACACTAATAAATAATTAAGGTGAATCTTTACACTGTTTATTGTGAAGATTCTCAACTCCTTTAGCCATTCAGTCACAGCATATTCAGTATGTCCCAAAGAGGGATGAGCTCAGGTTCACACTGGATTGCGCTCATCTCTCCTCTAAACTCATAAGGACCTCCTTCTGAAAACAGAAAGAAGCTCCTTCCATGCCACTCACTCAGCCGTGGGCAGGCAATTCTCTGCCCAGATGTAAGCACAAGGCAGCCTGCAGTAACGCTATTTACCTTATATGGCTCCAGGTCAGATTTGGCAAATTATATTTACCTAATATGGCTATGTGGCCATACAAGGTAAATTATGTCATTACCAGCATTCTGCGTCTTTGTTTAAATGCAGCTGCGGGAAGGAGAATGCTCGGCCCACAGCTGATTAGGTGGAAGTGCCCATGTCCCCACTTCCTTGTTCGATGAGCTCCAGTTCAGACTGTGTTCGGTCCAAACCAGAGCTTATCCCTAGCCTCAAGCAAAAGTGGAATACAATAACAATAACTTGTTTTTCTCTTAAAACCCCACAGCCTTAATAGTTGTCTAATAACGAATCCTGAGTTTGCATTGACAAGCTTGCTTGCTGGGACTTGCAGTTCCAAAAAATCTGGAGGGGAGGCATAAAACAGGGGAACATATAAGGAAGTACAGTGATATTGTATGTGCCAGACACACTGCTAAGTCTTCTCTTCGTTTTTTCATTAATTGCCAGTAAATGATTAGATGTTGTTGTGTTGTGGGGTAGATGGTGTGCTCTGACACATATCTATGCCCCCCCCCCCCTCACAGGTCCAATACAAACCAAATGAACTTTTGTGCACCACTCGAACTGACGCTGTCATTCCCTAGACTATTAAAACTCTGATTTATCTGGTGTGAATTGATAAATACTCCGGCCTTCGGATTCACAGATTCACTGTAAAGCTTGCTATATTTTCCACTACAAAAAGGAAGACATTACAATAACAATACAAATCAAGACAAGGTGATAAGGAGGTCCCTGCCCATGAGGGCTTACAATGTAAAAGGGAGAAGCAAGTGATACATGAGGAGGTAGCTGTGTGGGGATGAATTGTTTGAGAATGTGATGGTTCAGTGGTTAGGTTGTGGTGGGATAGGCTTCCCTGAAGAGATGAGTCTTTAGGGAACGCCTAAAGGCAGTCAAGGTGGGAGATAAATGGACAGGTTGGGGTAAAGAGTTCCAGAGAAAATTCAGGCAATGAGTAAAAGTAGGTAATGAGCTATTAATGCTATCCAACAAAGACTGCAGCTGTGCTAAAAACAGAAATTTCATTCCGTTTACTGTAATCTGAGTTTTATATATATATTCTACTCCAGACAGATTTTTACAGAACATCTAATATCATTAGAGGGTGTGCTTCCTAGAGTCTGTGCTGTATAACATCCAATCTCTCTGCTTCCTGTTTCTAACTTCAGTGTTTGGATGGAAAACCTAGCAAGTGGTCTGTACTCCCTGCATGCACTTCAAGTTTTGTATGCACCACTTAGTTTTCAATTTTGTCTTTTTTATATCTGATCATATCCACCTTTAATTTTTTGTTACTATTTATTAGTACTTATTAGTACTTATTTTTATATGACATTTATATAGCACCCAATTGTCCTTCATTTGTTGGGACAGTTCTTCTTTTGGAAGCAAATCTGTCTGCCCCTTTTTCCTCCTCAGTTGTCCCTATTTATTAACAAAAAAAGTATGCAGTTCGGGCTGCAATACTCCCTTCCTCTCCAGCACTGTCCCTTGCAGTTTTTGCTTTCCACCACAAAATGTCCCCAGTCTTCCGGGTTACATTATGTCATTGTCATTCAAAGTGAGCTGAATTGGAGAATTTTTCCAGTTCAGCTATGTTGTCCTAGATTGTTCACTTCTCCTGTCTTCTGCAAACTCTTCACCCTTTTGTGAATAGCCCTGTGAGTGTTTATTTGTGCCCAACCATCAGCTCCTGCGGGCTTTAGTGCTGGAACTACTGACTGTTAGTTACAGCCATGGTCCAGCACAAAGAACAGTAGCTGAATCCATCAGCTCCCAGGATGTGCACCGTCTCCATCTCCCCTTTTTCTGTCTGTGGTAATAAAACTTCACCACACGGTCAGAGCTTGTTCCCACTTGCAGCCAGGGGAGAGGGTACAGAATCCACTTTGCAAGGTGCCCAGATCAGCCTGGGAAGCAATGAATGGACCTTTAACAGTTACACTAACATCCTCTCCAGGCAAAGACCCATCTAGAAGGTCACTCCATATTGATCTTCTTCCTCAGGCCACATCACTGGAAAAAAACTCTCATTGATTGGCAGAATAAAGATTCACGATATGCTGTAACTTCTAACTACTCGAGAACACTGAACAGAGCAAGCACAAGCAAATTATATACTGGTCTTAGGAGAAACGCAACGAAAGATGGCAATAAACAAATTTTTTTTCATTCAACCTGAAGATTCCTTGATTGCTAAAACTAAAAGCTAACATTTGATTTTTTTGCTCTATAAACTAACTAACTCCTGCTAAACAGAGTGGATGGATGAATCTCCTGCTGGGCCGAGGACAGAGTAGTTAGCTGGAAAATGAAGGTTAAAAATGAATTCCATAAACTGATACCCACCTTCTTCCTAAGGTTCCTTTTAGATGGCCGCTTCGATCGGGTCCGCCTGTCAGTTTTTTAGGCGGAACCGATCGGATGCCCAATGCAAGTTTATGGGCAGCCGTGTGTAAACGGGCGAGCGTACGTTTACACCCAGCTCCTGCTGGGTCCAAAAAAACAGACGAAACAGTGTTCCATTTCAACGGACCGTCTCGTGACAGATTGGTGATAATCTTATGTAAACGGACACAGGCCCGGCGCTACCGCAAGGCAAGTCAGGCGGCCGC